GGGGGGGGGTTGGTTTCTTTTTTATAACATAAATATTGCTCTGAGCAACAAGTGAAACGATTGCAGTACCAAAAATCTATAATTTGAATTTTGGTAAGGAGCAAAATAATGCACTGAAATGAGTAATGTTAGATAACGTACCAAAATAATTCTTGAAGATTGCTTCAGTTTCATATAGTAGTGATTAAAGAAAACATGACTTCTAGGTAACTTCAGTATCATTTAAAACTCCCTCAGGCCACACTAATGATCCTTATCTGCTTAGTCCCTTTCAGAATCAGAAAATTTCCTGGAAAGAAGTATCTTAACAAAAACCACATGTGCACGTATGTGTGTGAAGGATTCATACAAAACACCGAAACATTGTCTTTGATACATACATCTTGTGCAAATATTCTTTCTCTAGCTCTCTGATATTCTTCTTCACGTTCTTCTATGGATTTACTTCTTCTGTCATCTTTTAATCGTATTCTCATCTAAATTAAGTGATACAGTGTCAACTTCTACAGGGAAATAGTACAAACACACAGTCGAATACAGCAAGTAGAAGGAAATAATCCGTATGTATTTTACCTGGTTATCATCTTTGTCTAAACTAGAGTTATCTCTTTTAAGGATGTACCGCTTCTGGAAATCATCACTCTTGTCATCCTTTATATGCTCACAAAACTTTTGGTCAGGTCTGTGAAAAGTTATTAGAAAGAAAAGATTTACTGTCTTGTAAACGTATACTGTAGACAGTGGAAAAAACTGAAACATACTCAAGATTAATATTAAGTATACTTAATATTCTAACTGAAGTGACTGATAGGTGTTGGTTGTCCAGGCAATGGAAAAGGAACCAAAACTGTAAAATGATGCATAGCCCTGACGAGTCCTGTTCCTGAGGCATAACAAACCTGATTTTAAAATCTCTTCCTCCTTCAAAGCTTTTGCTTCAATTTCCAATTAAGGTGGCAAGCAAACCACATGCCCTTGGGGAAGCTGAAGTGCTCCTGAATCCAGACTGGTGCCATGCAATGAATACTGGGCATGCATGGAAGTGAAGATAGGTGCTTTCTGCTAGAGCTGTAATACCTCAGAATTCATTTCAAGGGAAAACAGAAGCTAAGATAGAGGAGAAAGCATTGAAACTTATAAAATTCTAAACCAAAAATTAAGTAGAAATAAGCAAGAGAAGAACAGTACAATGCAGGCAAGCAAGAGCTTCAAAAGATTACAGTGAGATGATGAAACGACAGATTATAAATATTGGGGTTTTTTATCTTCTTAGTGAAAGAAAATGAGATAATTTGCACACTCGTTATTAAAAATAGATACCAAGTACCTAGACAATAAAACTACTACTATTGTAGCAGAATTTCTCAGAATCAGGAAATATTTGTCTAATAAAAGACAAGACATATGTATACTCTTCTCTGTTTCTGTTTCTTTACTCAGGACATCTGTACAGGGTCAGGAGATCTTTTTCTATAAAACAGCCAAGCCTAACTATTAGTTACTGGATGCCCAAACATAATTAGCAGGCATTTCAGAGAACCTTTAGACTGTCTTACCTCTTTCTTTTAAAGGTCCCTGAATTTACTGCCCTGCAATCACCAACTTCCCACTCCACTGAGACGTCCCAGTATGCACTGGGCTGTTGATGTCAGTAACATCACTGATCAGCGATGGAGCCGGGAATCTGCCTATGAGGAAAAGGTAAGTTTGGTTTTATTCAACATGGAGCAGTTCTCCAAGGTTTTCTTTCTAAATTCTTATTTTATATCCAAAGTGATTTAAAATAAGAATACTGAAAACATTAAGAATCTTAATGTCTGCAGGTTAGATGAAATGCCTGCTAATTAGTAACTACACCTACAGGGGGCTTCCAGAGGCCATAAGCTATTTAAATGTGCTCTAGAAAATATTGCATTAAAATGAAGAACTCATCTTTTAATAGTTCTTATTCCACATTCGAAGTTCTAGACTGAAGCTGCAGTCTAGAGATGCTGGGAAGATGCAAAGGCAACAGATTTGAAATGTATGGCTTTATAAGTCAATTAGAATAGAGAAGGTACAGCCAAAGAAAACACACATACGTGAATATATGTTACTGCACATATATTTAGGCTCTATATACTTTTCTAGAAAATTTTGAGGAGGAAACTGTTTACTTGAAATGCCACACTGACATTTCACTTATTTCAGTTCTACTGACTTTTAAAATTAGGGTGGATTTCTGTGTACCAAAGCTATGGAGAGTGTACATAGAGACTGGGATTAGGATGACGGTGCTGTAAATTCTTACTTCCATGTCAAATCATAGAGTACTTAAAAAAAAAAAAATAATCAAAAACCAAACAAAAAACCCAAACAAAACAACCAAACCACACAAACCAAAGCAAAACACCACCAAAGAATGGTGTCAGGCAAATGCTTCAAGTTAAAACTAGAAACTAGGTGGCATATATATACCAACACATTAGTCCTTTGTCTTTCTGAGAGAGAACGAGGAGACAGAGCAAGTGCAGAAGACAGAACAGCTGGGTCCTTCCAATGGAAGCATCAACTCCACGTGGGTTTTGCAGTGGCTGTGGTCCCAGTGCTACCTTTCTGTAATATGGATTTGCCTAGTGGTTTCTCCAAAAACTCCCCAGCCCTCACAGCAAGTAGCAAGCCATGACTTGTTAACCCAGTTGACACTGATGAGATGTCTGTCTTCCCTGCTATGTTTATTTTGTAAGGCCATGGGAGACCTGTAAGCAACGTTATTCCAACAAAAGACATCAATGACTGAATTTTCCCAGTAGATTTTTACAGTACAGAAGCCACAGTTGTGCAAGTCTAGTTCCCTCCCTTCACTAAATCAGAAACGGCTTTGTTCTAAGTTAAGGAGAAGTTCTGGTTTCCAAAAGAAACAAAGAACATACTTAGTACACTTTACTTTATATCTTTAAACAGATAAATAGCTGATATAAATTAGTATTTAATAGAAACAAAGTTAGCAATGCTCTTCTGTGAGAAAAAGCAACAAAAATTCCTAATTTACAGATAACATCCTTTCTCCCCCCCCCCCCCCCCAAACCTTAAAACA